AAAAAGTGAATCATAAGAGGCATAATATGGGAAAGATATATGATTATATATAATTTTTTTTTTTGAAAAGATAGGGATGCCCCTAAAACTTCTTGGCTCCATCGCTCGATGGACTAATACCGGAAGTGCTAGTAAGAATGTACCATATATAGTCACGGGTGTCGGTTGGTTCAAAGCCATATACCTAAATGGTAACAAAGTTATGAACCCTTTGTGGTATACAACCATCCACAAAGTTATATTGAAGTGCAAATTAAATCAAAGTTCTCCTAATATTTTCATCAAAGTCTAAATGCTAAAACAAATACGTACTACGTATATACGAGTATATTTTAAAATGATAAGGAGTAATTAATGAATTAATTATATCAGTGGGACGAATTAATCAAAAAAAGGATCAAATTGTGCAAATTAATTTTGAAACAAAAATAGAAAATAGAAAGTTATTGTGGTTTAAAACACTTTCAACTATATATGCAAAAAATGTTTTTATAAAGCTGTACCCCATGCAAATTAAAAAGTATTTCTCTTTAATGATTGCTTTTATAAATTTTATGTGATACTATCGTCTATCGTATAAGAGTAGTAGGGTAATAGTTCGGAAATATGGAAATGGCACAAATGAAAAAATGCTAAAGAGAAGCACGTGAAAAAAATTAACAGGCCGGGAAAATGTACGTACTACGTATATTTTTGCATTTAATTAAAGTCACTACGGGTCAAGTTATCTTTTAAGTTTACACATTAGGGTATTTTTACAACTTAAAAAATGTTAAGAACTTATTTGCACCTTTACTAAATATCAAGTGTGTTATGTTCAAAAATATCAAGTGTTTTAGGATGCATGCACTTTCACCTTGTCTATTGTCCAAATAAATCAAAAAACAATAATAACACTCTTGTAATTCGTATAAGTGTCCATTTTGTATGGGATTGAGATCCTCTGCCCTAAGCCTAGTACCTAACTCAAATGGATGGCACAGATTGAAAATTAGGCCTCGAGGTTCGTGCAAAAAATGGGCATCTTAATCTTCAACCCTTCATTTTTTTTATCTGATGTAGGAAAACAACCAGGCACCCTCCTTGGCTGCTTAACCAAGGTAGAGACGCCAGATCCTTTTGTATGCCACTTATTCGTTCGGTAAGAGCTAGTGTATATATGGTATTGAATATTTACTTCAAATGTTCTCTAACATCATATATACATTTGATTGGTCCAAGTCATTAACTCATTCTTAATTAATATTGCATTTGTCCCTTAAAACTTTATCATCTTTAACTTTTCAAGTCAATGATGGTTTAGATCATGATTTTGATTAGTATCATATTTGTAAAGTTAAAAAATTTATACTTTTATGAGAGTACTTCTAGCAAAGAGTACTTTCATACCATTTTATGTTATAAATAAATTCCTATAAAAAATATTTGGTCAAAAGTGAGTTTGGTTGACCAAAAAATTCAAAGATGGCAAAGTTTTAATAGACAAAGGGATTGTTTAAATTGTGCGATTGCAATATTTTAATGATCCACGACGCAAACAAGGAAATGTACCTTTAGGGTACGATAAAACTTGCCTATAATTTAACTTATAGAGTGAGGTAAGTTTGATATATATAGTATCATCTCATTCTCTTATAACTTTGTCATCTTTCGTTTTTGGATGTCTCAAAAACTTTGTCATTTCCTTCTTAATCAATGAACTTGTGGTTCATATTATTTCTTTCTCCTCTTCACAAGTGTTAACCACATACTTTTTATTTTATTATTTCTCATACTGGTCAAACTTGATAAATTTTTTAGGGATAGACGGATGATGAAAGTATCCTTTAGCGCAAAGTGTGATGGACAAGAATGAAAAGTAAAAAGGGGCGTGTATATATCTTTCTAATAGGACAGTTTAATTGATAACTTGTGAGTTGAAGTGGCAGGAGGGCCAGCTCATGAAGCAAGCTAGCAGATGAAAACTAGAATAACCCATACATTTTTCTTTATCTTCACTTTTGGCTGGGAATGGGCAATGGACAAGAGGAAGAAGAGAAAAAGGCAACTCAACAGGACAATTCTGGATCATATATCTTACAGTAGTCTTGTGACAGCATATATGCGCCATAGATATGCACACCCAATAATCCAACCTATGCTTCCAGTGACACTATCACGAGATGTTCTATTAGCTCCACATTTAATTTTATATAAACATAAATTCAAAAATAAAACATAGTACTACGTACATGCAGGTTAAGATGTGTGGTTACATCTTAAAAAGGTGAACCTGATAGGAATAATAGCTCGAGATCTTAATACATTATTTTATTACGTAGTATGTTATAATTTTCATGTAATTGGACTTGGCTAGCTTCATCAATACCTCTCCTCATGACTAGATATTTCGTCTCGATCATGCCGTCATTCATTATCTTCGTCGGTTCGTCATTATCATTTTTATAATTTTCGTCATTTTTTCATATGGGTCCAATCCATGGTTATAGATCGATTTGACTTTAATGTCATGTTCAAACTTAGAGTTCCATCATAAAAGTTTAATCATTTAGGATAAACCCCAGGTTTTAACAATATACTAATTGGGAATTAATTATGGTGTTGTTGATGTTGTTGTGTGACTGAGAGATTGTGAGTTCAAGTCGTCTTAAGAGCGGCCTTTTGTAAAACAAACAATAAAAAACTTGATCCTTATACACCCCCATGTAGGGATCTTTCTCCGATCTGCCATTTTCTTTATATAATTAAATATGTAATATTTTTTGAAAAATTACCCTAAATGGGACTAAAAATGTTTGTATATTCTAAAAATATAACTGTCATATTTTTGTTCCCTAAATGGGTGTAATTACATACAGTCATATTTTGGCAGTATCAAACTTTAAACATGATAGTACATCCCAAACTCATAATTACTTTCTCATACTTTGAAAATTTTTCCTACATCTTTTTAGCCCTTGCCTTTAATTTCCCACCATTGTCTCCATTCCTCAAAGACAAATGAGGGACGTACCCACTTATTCACATGTGTGCACCCCTTAATCATTACATGAAACCACACTGTTCCATCCATGCACTTCTCCTTCCTTCACAGCCTCATCAGCTCCGGCCATCTCTTTTGTCATTTTCCATTATTTCATACTTAGTGGATAGATACTCAGCATCTCCAACAACAACTCCTCTTGCGCATGCAATCCGAGGCATGCATTTAACAGCCATGTCTAGTATCTCTTAATTGAATGCTAGCTTTATTTAATTAATTAGATGGTTTAATTATATTTGGTGCTTTTACTATAAAAAAAATGAATTTGTGTATTTGATACTCCCTCCGGTCCGTATTAAAGTTCTCACTTTCTGTTTTGGGATGTCCTTATTTAAGTTCACACTTCCATTGTAGGAAACAAAACAGTGCAAAACAGTGCCAAACAGTGTCCAAACGGTGCTAAACAATGCACTCCACAGTAAAGTCAAATTTATTTTCTTTATCTGTGTGAAGTCAAACTGAGAACTTTAACAGGGACCGGAAGAAGTATTTGATATTCCAATTATCAATTATTAAACAAAAGCAATTATTTCAAAAAAAAAAGCCCCTTATTAGTGACCTATAAAGAAGACCCATAGTGACATTCAAGTCAGCTCCTTCAATATTATGTTCCTCACAACAATGACGATTTCTCCTGAAGAAAATATACATGGACCTTTTCATGAACAATTGACACGATTAAAATGACTTTTTCTTCCGGATTTTTTCACAATTACACTGTCCGTGATTGATCGAATTCGCAAATTTTGGAATTTTTATTTGACTCTTTTTGGATTATTGTTGAAAAATAATTCGTGGATATCAGTGTTCATCACCATACTTTTTTTATCCATAACTCAAATTTCGATGATTATATGTCAATTACCTATGATCGAATTGTGTCTCACCACGTTTAGAAAAGCCTACACATCCATTTGAGATGCTTAAAACACCATTCGAATTGAGACATCCATTTTTACTATTATTGTTATTATGAGGAATTATTCCTTATTTTTATAGAACAAAATGAAATGGTATTTCTTTAATTACCTTAAACAATTAATCATAACAAAAAATTAATGAAAATACAAAGAGGAAACATAGTAATATACTAATATTATTATGAGGAAATCCTTATTATGACCTCATATGACCAAAATAAGATGGCAAAAAAGTGTGACATACTAACGTACTTTTAGTGATAATTATCTTAATCAAACATTATACTCTAGTGAGTTAATGAATAATGACTATAAAAGTATACTTTTCACGTTACCATTTTAGCCACATATTGTTCATAAATTTTATTCTTAAATATTTTGGGAAGAACATTATTGAAAATTAATCCCGTTTGTAAATTTTTAATTCAAGTAGACTTTCAAATACGAAAACAAGTACGGAGTATATAGTAAAATAAAACGGTATCCACCCTCATTTGCACAGCAAATTATATCGTACATCCGGGTGTATCTGTACACCCGGTATTTTTGTAAATATACCAACTTCAAGCTTCTGAATCAGCATTCGCTTCATCCTCTTTCCTCTTCCGCAGACATCCTCTAGCTTCGCTCCATCCTCTCTTTTTTCGCAGGGTCTTCTTTTTCCTCTTTTCTTTCTTTTCTTCCGCCGCATCCTCGTTTTTTTTCTTTTCTTCCGCAACATCCTCGTTTCTTTCTTTTCTTCTTCCGTTCTGATTGTTACCCCGTACCCTTTAGCTTTTTTTTATTTTTTATTTATTTACTTTTACTGCTAGCCATTTGTTTTTACTTTCTTTTGTTTTTGTTTTGTCTTTTTTTACTTCTTTTCCTTTCTTTATTTGTTGTTTACTTCTCTCTTTTTCATATATTATACCAAGCACATTAGAAATGAGTTTTACCTTAAACTCAAATGACTAAAACGCTTAAAAAATGAACATACACAAATGAACTTTTGAATTTTTGAATACCCATTTTGTAAATTATATATGTTCATTTAGTATCTCTGTTATGCTCATTTTTAAAATGTTTTCAGCAGTAATCCCACCGGAAAAGATCACTCCAACGAGAACCTGTCATCTTCTCCGAGAAGTTCATTGCGTTTCCTCCATCTTTGGTGTTGCAGAGATTCTATAGGACAACGTTAATGCTCTATATAGACTACATTCCACTGAGATTGACCTGGCAAATCAATCCAACCCTTGCCACATCACTCTCACGTGCCAAATGAGCATAATGTTTAAACGAAATGAGTATAGACAAATAAGGATTTGAGCACATTAGCAATTTCAAATGACATTTTGGATTTTTTGATACTCCTTTTGTAAGTGGTTCCTAATACTCAACTGAATAAGTGTGATGCTCATTGAAATTGTTTTAATACTCATAATAAGTTTGATGCACATTAAAAGTTCATTAATGCTCATTTAACAGAAATTGTGATTTTTATCTCAACAGAGAAGGTTTGATGCTCATTGAAAATGTCGTTATGTCAAACTAACAAACTTTACGAGTTTCATATCAATTACTCCCTCCGTCCCTCTTATATTGTCCCATTTTACCTTTTCGGGAAGTCCCACTAAAATTGTCTCATACCATATTTGGTAATGTTTGTGTGGTTCTAAATCATTCTTACTTTATTCTTACTTTATCAATTAATATCAACCACACAACCCCACTTTTCTTAATAATCGTGTCACTCTCTTCCGACCCAATATAAGAGGGACGGAGGTAGTAACATTTTGTAAGTTACGTATGCTCATTTTGTATTGATGTTATGCTCATTTTAAAATGTCATATCAATGCATATTTCAAAAGTATCATATTACACTAAATTCACATATTGAAATTCATAAGAGTGTATTATAGATATAATTTAATAAGTTTTTATAAAAGAAAAAATAAGAAAAAGAACAAAAATTAGAAGATATGAAGTTGAGATCGTGTTACTCATTGTTAGCCTCGTAATACTCAATAAAATAGGTTGGATGCTCACTAAACGTACAATATTGCTCATTTAGCGAAAGCCGTGAATTTTCGCTTAAATTACAAATATGCCACCGAATTTTTTTTGACCTGTATTAGTGGTTGGGCCGTCTTTCTTACTTGGGCCGGGTGTACGTACACCCGGATGCACTATATACGAACTGCATTTGCACCATCTTATATTTTGGGCAATTTGGCCACATTCACAATATATGATGAGTTTAACATATGGTCATATGGCCCATATGGGTCATAGTTCATAAGGAAAAGTAAAAAAGTGAATGTAAATATATAAACAGTCAGGGTCGGCCCAGGTGGTGTGTAGGCTGTCCAATCGCACATGGGCCCAAAAAATTGGAAGGGCCCATTTTTTTGTAGTAGTATTACTACTACTCCGTATTAGTTAGCCCATTAGCTAAAAAACAAGGTGCGGGAGTGAAGGGGTGTGAAACATTAAGCAAAGGGGAGAAGGGGCTCAAAGCATCGAACTACGATTCTGCGAAATACCAAAGTGTGAAGGCTTACGAGCAACCGAGCGAGACGAGCGACGAGCCGACACTCTCCCTCTCTAGTCTCCTTCCAGGCTCTACTCCAGGCCGTAAAGCAACCATCCATTGGGATAGTTCCATGTTTGATGCTTGTTGAGGTTTATTCCCTTCAACCTGTAAGCCCAACACACAACTTAAGGGTTTCGAGTGGGTAGTTAAGGAGACTAAGGTCAAACAAGTAAGATGAGGCCCAATAAGAAGTCTAGGTTTAATCCCACTGTTTAGGCGTGAGGCAATTCGTACTTACAAGGCGTGAGGCCGTTCGTACTTACAAGGCGTGAGGCCGTTCGTACTTACAAGGCGTGAGGCCGTTCGTACTTACAAGACGTGAGGTCGTTCGTACTTAATGGCCCAATGAAAAACATCTTGTAAAACTTTGAAGGGGAAAACGACCTTCAACGGTAAATAATTTCACATGGGCTCTCCTTGAGGAGTTTAAGAGGTCAAAGCAGTTTAAGAAGGCATCTGAGGCTGGTAAAAAGAATCGCATGATTGGTGGTGATAAGTGCAAACAATATGGCAGATCTAGAGCAACGGTTGATGTGGCGGCACAAGAGGTTAGCAATAGAAGTTATTTAATTTTTCTCATATATTAAGTTACTTAACTGATTCAAATATATATTTTTTTTGTTTTAGCTGAGGATCTCAGGTGAACACATAAATCCTATCAAGCTTTGTGAAAACATATCATCCAAAGAAGAGGAAGAATGGGAAGATAATTGAGTCACAACTAGAAGTCATGGTAATTGTATAATTCATTAATACAATTGATTAATATGATGAAGCATTAAGATTTGGTATTACAGAGTTATAGAGAACAATATGTACTATGGAGTATTTGGAGAAAGAAAACACTTCGTCTCTTTCTCTGTTTAGTAATTAATTCGTATTAGGTTGCTTTTTTTGCTAGTATTGGGTTGCTTTTATTAATCACCTTCCAATTACTTTGAGTAATGATGTTTTGAGAATAATCTTGTCTTTTTTTAATTTCAATTTGGGGCCTCAAATTTATCTTTGGAATAGGCCCTCTCAATTTTGTTAGACAACCCTGATTAAAAGTTATGCATATTATTGGTGTAGTTCACTGGGCGGAGGTTGCTTTACATTCCTGATTTGGGAGATTATATGTTTTAACATGCTTGCAGTTAACTGGGCATGCGGTTTTACAGAAAACATGTGGCAGATATAGTGTTAGTTTAGTCAGATTAAAAAGTCATGCTATTTTAAATGCCTAACAGTGATATGTTTTAAGGCGGATCATATGTACAGTTTTACATGGTTGCTGTCTAGGTTGTATATGAAGTGAACTTTGAGTTTTGTTGTTAAATATCTCACACCTTTCATTGTCAAAAATATAGTCCAAAGGTGTAGAATTGAAAAATATATTGGGTGCAAAGGGGTAGTTTCATTTTTTCAGGCTGGTTGCTGGCTCATTTGGAAATTGTCAATTACATACTTTGTTTTTTATTGTGCACATGAAGCTATCTGCAAGCTGTCAACTGATTTTGAAGTTGATGCTCATAATTCTCAAGCATTGGAAAATGAAGTTGAGATCTTTAATGCATTTAAAATTGCACAAAAAAGCTGCACTCCAAATATTTAGATGTGGTTGGATGTAAAAGGAAAAGAATTTTTTGAACGGGGAGATATGAAAAAGCGTTCCTTCATCAACTTGAAACAAGTGAGGAAGGATGTTCTTCATCTTCACAACGCAAGTATGACTGTTGTGTTGTTTGGGATAAATGTTTGAGAAATTTGTTGAACTCGTAAGGTCATGAGTGTCCACCAATAATGCCGCTAGTGGATGCTAGTTTGCTACTTGAAGATCCTGATTCACAACCGAAAAGTTTTGAGCAAACCTGGCTTTCAGTTTTGAAAGAACATGGAGTAGATTTACCCATTTTTTTTCAGCATCTGATTGCTCATCCGAAGGCTCCCAAGACTCACAGCATGAATCTCTGTCTACTTAGCAATGTGTTTTTAGATTATGTATGAATTAAAATCTCTGGATAACTTTTGTTGAAGTGTATTTTGATTGTCCAGATCACAATGAATTCTACTTAATTAATATGATGCTATTTATATTTATTTATGGATGTTACGTACGTTAGTTGTCATATTTGAACTATCTAGTTTGTATATATAAATGTATAATATGTATATGAAATGGTAATCTGCAATTGGATTATTGCATCATTTCAATTGTTATTGGATAATTTTCAAATATTGTTAAGTTGATAGGTTTTAGAAAAGTAATTACATTGTGTTGAATTTTATTGGCGGAAAGTCTATCACTAATAATAGTGAGGGATATTTGGCCACTAATTTATGTCTGCAAATTGTGGCAGAATCAAAGATCCGCCGGTGAACCCATTTATGTCAAGATTTCAGTGACGACCGTTCCGCCATTCAAACCCGTCACCGTTGCTGTTAGTGGCGGTTTTAGTGATGGATTTTCCGCCAGTAAAAAACGTGGTTTCTTGTGGTTGCTGTTAGTGGCGGTTTTAGTGACGGATTTTCCGCTAGTAAAAAACGTGGTTTCTTGTGGTGTGACGTTGTTGATCTTGCAGAGTATACCCAAAGGTTCAAGTTGGATTGCAGAAAGTGGGAGATACGTTCGCAGCGATTTGACGACAATCGACTGCGTGATATTTCCGCTTGAGATGTTTTAGGAAATATTAAACTTAAAATGAAAAGGTAAAACTCTAAAGATGAAAAAAAATACATGGAGTCGATTGAGACCCTAATCTAGGACGAGGGTTAGTTCAGTTGTTCGGTTGGGGTGCTTGTGTACACTTGAGTGTGTGGGTTGTGTTTGAACACATATACTCTAGGAAATGGTCTGGTTTGTTTGATTTTGATCGAGCTGAGTCACACTTAAACACACTAATCAAATTAAATTTAAACAGATCAATCCATATCAGGAATATTCTCTCTAATTGTAGACATCCTTATGTTAGTTGTTTAATACTCCCTCTGTCCCTTATTTTCTTTACGATCCGTCCCCGCTAAAATTTGTGTAGTTTCAAATCATTATTACTTTTATTCTTATTTCACCAAATTAATATTTACCACACAAACTCATTTTTCTTAATAATAGTGCTACTTTCTCATGTCTCAATATTAGTTAGACGGAGGCAGGACTACATAGTTACTATGATTATTGATAACATTTCAAATAATCTCAATTATTAAATCCTAAAAACAATTAATCTAACTAATATAAACGGTTTTAAGGACAAAAAAAATACAAAACGATTTTGTTTGAATATAAATGTTTTGATTTTATAGTTTCAATTTTAGAAAAACATTATCCGTGTATGGAGAGTAATCAATCAAAAAAGAAAAAAGAAGATGATGCATGATGCTACGTAGTTGAATTGGTGCAACAAAATAAAGCCTGAGACTAAATGGTCCAATCGTGTAAAATTATGGGTGCGCGTAGATAGCCGGAAAAAAAATCATAATAGCTAGGATAATTTTCTCATTCCTAATTCCCGGACTGCCCACTCCCAATCCCTTTCCCTGCCAACATCTTTTTTTTTGGCACAGATAAAATTAGCTTGTATTAATCAAATCATGGTTCGACGGAAACAAAATACAACCAGTAGGAGAATCAACCCAAATATTGCAACCAGTCATAGAACCCGTAGCTTTAGCAAGTGTATGAGCTACGTGGTTCGCTGATCGCTTCATAGGATTAAAAGTAATATCATTAAAGGTATTTGCTAATTCTCGAATGTCATCCATGAGAACTCCACAAGAAGAATCATCAAAGCTGCATTTGATTAAATTAATCACTTGTAGTGCATCCGACTCGAGATCAAACGATCCCGTCCCGCTAACTTCAACCAACCGAGGGCTTCCCGGATAGACACTGCTTCTGTTTCCTTTGGAGAGTACTCTCCCTGCTTGTGAGTTGTGCCACCAGCTAGGAAATTGAAATCCCTTCGCAAGGTCTTGCTACCCAACTCAGACCGGTACTGTCACCGCCTATGGGGAATGTTGCATCCGTGTTGACCTTCACTCTCCCCTCTCCCGACCTCACCCAAACCCCAGCAGCTATCAGCTGCCCACCTGATTTGCTCGCTAAACTGGTAGCATCCCGCCACCCTTGCAGAAAGTTTACAGCCCCTGCAAAAATGCTCCTTGCCGGTGTTGGTACCTTCTGCCACAGTACTTCATTTCTGGCCCTCCGAACTTGCTACAACACTCATCTCTGAAGCTATGAAAAATGCTTTCAATCCACTCCATAAAAGTTGTCTCATTACCAAAATGAAAATCCCAATCCAACAGGCACCACACCTGTTGCGCAATCGGACATAATCCAAACACATGAAGAGGATTCTCTCTTTTCAGCTGACAAGAAGGATATAACCATGAACAATTAACTCATTTAATGCTAGCAAATCCCTCGTCGGAAGGCACCCTGTACAAACTTGCCAAAAGAAAGTTTTTACTTTCGGGGGAATTTGTAACTTCCACATCCGGGTCCAGCCATAGCTAACCTTTGACACCACCTGTTGCATCAAGAATTTGTAGCTACTCTTCACTGAATAACGACCGTCCTCTACCCAGCGCCACACTACTTTGTCCGCCACTTGCCTTTGACTAACTGATACTGCCAGAATGAGTTCCTCGTCTCTGCTGTCAAATAGATCAGTTAATATATCTTTGCCCCACTCATGCAAATCTCCCATGTGCATTAAATCAGCACTCTGCAATGCTCTAAACTGTTAACTGGTTCAGTCACCACCCATGGCTTTTCTAAACAAGGCAACCAAGGATCTTTCCACACATGAATAGACCCCCCTCGCCCTACACGCCACCTGTACCCATTCTGAATAAGTCACCGAGTTTCCCATTAACTACGCTATATAAACGAAGGGTTATGCCCGACTTTAGCTTCCAAGAAAGAAGAATTAGGAAATACCTTGCTTTCATGACTCTGGCTACTAGAGAATTGGGCTCACTAAAGATCCTCCAGGATTGTTTTCCAAGCATGACCAAGTTAAACTCCCTTAACCTTCTAAAACCCATACCACCAAACTTTTTAGGTATGCTCAGACCATTCCAATCTTTCCATCGAATTCCTCTACCGGAAGAACATGTCCACCAAAAACCATTCATAATCATTTCCAACTCCACACACACATCTTTTGGAAATAAAAAACATTCATGGCATAATTCGGCATAGCTTGAACAACACTTTTCAAAAGCACATCTCTACCCATCTTAGAAAAGAATCTATGATTCCACCCTTGCACCCGTTGTACAACCCTTTTTTCAATGTAGATCAAAACCTCTCGTTTACTTCTCCCTACCAGAGACGGCAGACCTAGGTATTTAGAACCCCACCCCGCAGGTCCAACCCTAGGAACAAAATCTTAACCAGATCCAAATTAATCTGAGTTTGACCGGTTTCATACGGGTTTTGATGCTTTCCGGTTTAGAGCATCTACGGGACCGGTAAGTTGACTGGCTCTGCAGGTTCTAGGTCAAACCGGTCCGGTTTGGGTTTTTAAACATGGGGTAATCGTAGGTATTGGAGTACTTTGGATATCTTTCTCCAAATTCGGTTTCCATCTGTAACTTCTCTTCTCCGTTTCCACGTTCCTATTTTCTTCTTTCAGAGAGGGCAATGGGCGATCAGATTGAGAAGGGAGACGAATTCTTGAAGAAAGCTGAGAAGAAACTTAACGGCTGGGGCTTATTCTCCCCCAACAAATACGAGGATGCAGCTGATTTGTTCGACAAAGCCGCCACTGCCTTCAAACTGGCTAAGTCGTGTACGATATTTTCTCTCTTTTTTCTTTAAAAAATATATACTCCTCTCAACTATTTTGCTTGAGTCTACCCTACGATTTCTAGATCAGTTATAATTTATGCTTCGCATTTTGATCGGACTGCGATCTGCTTTTGGTTCGATCATTGGCATTGGATTGCTTTTATCTCTTATATTAAGTTAACTACTACTTTATTGTTTGATTGTCTTATACGATAGTATTAGATTAAAAACTCGGAAGCTGAGTCTTTTTTCTGTTAAATTTGGCTTGGATTATTCTTGTATAATCCGGGATCAAAGCGATTCTCATGTAGGATAAATGTAGACTCTCTATCTCAGCGAATTCAGCTCAGGATATTACCTTAATATAGAGTCTACATTTTGTGGTGCAATCGGAAAGTATGTCGGGGAAGATGTCATTCATTGTTTAATAATCTTTAATGGTCTGATAGGTGGGGCACTGTTCGGTTAATGAAACTAATTAGTAGGCAGCTTGGAGGAAAATAATTTGTTCTCTATGTTGTTTTACCATGTTGTTGACTTGGTCGACATTATATCTCATTAGGGTCTGTTTGGAAGTTATAAGATACCAGGGAAAGAAAAAGAAGGGAGAAGAAAAGTTGGGGGAATATCATCATATATAAACTCATTCATACCAAGATTTATGGCCAACAAATTATATTGCTCAAGTGTAATTTCTTCCCAAATTCTGTTTTGTTTGAAAATGTATTAGCTTTAAAGCCTTCAATTCAAAGCCCTGAGCAAATCACCTATGCGCTTTAATAATAGAGTATAAATCCACCTTCTGTTTAGAGTTAAAGTCCTGCAATTTTTAACCTCTGATTTCAGAAAGTGCTTAACTTTTATACTCCCTCCGTCCCAAAATTAACTTCACAGTCACTATTCACATGGTCAACTTAATTACTCTTCATCTTATGTTTTATATATCAAATTTTTATCAAATTTACATGTTTCTTATCAGGCTTTGTAGCGGTTTTAATGTAGTTTCTGAATATGTAAATTTTATTTACTAAAAGTAATCCGAGTATGAACAGGGATCGAGTTGCTTTATCGTCGGTCAAACATCGTAATCTGAAATGGGAAGTTAATTTTGGGACGGAGGTAGTATTGAAGATTATTAGGTTCTTAACCATTAACAAAGCTGGTTGGAAAAGTCTTTGTTCAAGTTAGAAAGTTATAATGTTTTTTTTTTAATTGGAAAAGACTTTGTTCAAGTTCAGGTTAGGAAGTGATTGAACTTATACCAAATTCAGAAAGTGATAATGTTTTTTAGTTGGAAAAATCTGTTTGTTCAAGTCAGGTTAGGAAAATGAACAAAGTTGTGAGAATTGCATTGTGCTGCATAGTTTCTAATGTTTGGAAAGCTAGAAGTACATATAGTATTGCTAAAAGCAGGCTGATTTATAAAGTCCTGCAATTTTTAACTGGCTGCAATTTCAGAAAGTGCTTAACTTTTATATTGAAGTTTATTAGGTTCTAAACCATTAACCAAGCTGATAGGAGAAGTCTTTGATAATGTTTTTTTAATTGGAAAAGTCTCTGTTCAACTTAGGAAGTGATTGAACTCATACCAATTTCAGAAAGTGATAATGCTTTTTTAGTTGGAAAAGTCTGTTCAAATTTAGGTTAGAAATTCAGTCAAATAATGTAGGGGATACAAATAGGTGAGATAATCCTTAGAAATAGTAACATGACTTATTGTTAGTATTACAATTTATAATTATCTTTATATGTAAGTGGCACTGGATTTATGTTCCAAGTAATATGTAGTTGTCTGAGTATTTAGGCAGAAATGTCACTTGACTTTTCCAAATTACAATTTTCTTCTTCTACTAAGCTCATGCTGTAAAAGAAAAATACATGACATATGTGTGATTTGTCTTGTTTTCATAAGCGATAAAGGTGCACAGTTGCAAGACCATTTCGTAGTCATTTTTTGTGTTGATAAGTTTTTAGTTAGAATTAGCTTGGGTTATTCTATGCGTGGATTCTAGAATAATATTAAAGCTAAATGGTAGAACATATTGAAACTAATTGAACCACTAATATTCTTAAACAACTACAACCAGCTTTTTTATTTTTTAGAATGTATTCACATTTAATCTTTTCAAATAAGGTTTGTTTATAAGATGGTTGATCGATGATAAGATTCTTTACACTTCTAATGTACAACCTCTCTACCACGCTATCTTTGGATACATTGTGGTGAATCTTGACTGCATGTTAGCATTCGGTCTTTGACCTCGATATTTCCTTGGGTTAGTTTTAGTGCAGTTTTATATGTGATTCGTAAAAGGAATTGCCTGGAGGACTGGAATTGACCTGATCTCATTTTGTAGTATCCAGAACTGTACATGGTTCTTGATATGGGTCCGTGCCTATCTTTGAGACATGAAAATGATACATGTTAATGAAGACTGATGTTGAATTTAAAGTAGGAATGAGTTTGAAACACTTCACATTCCAAATATGACACTGGCAAATGAGAGAAAATAGTGGGATGATGATAAAAATAATTATTACTACATTAATAAGTGAAATTTGATGCGAGCCTTTCTCATAAATTTTTTAATAAGTGAACTTTACTTTTATACAAAACATGGAACTCTTAACATAATAGCTTTTGATTGTTTTTGTGTTTTCAATTTAAGATAGACTTTAATTGAATTGCTCCCTAAATGTCACTCTACATTGTGTGTACGTATGTGTGCATATGCATACACCTAATTTAAGCTGACCCGGTTAGTCAATTAGGAATACAACATGTATAAAAATTCAATCATAGATGAGGTTGATAAAGCCGATGATTATATGTTCGGTGAGACATTAGTGGAGTTAAAGAGTTATCAAAGCTCATTTCTAGCTTCTTCTTCTAGCTGAGATAGTAATCAGTTACACGATGTACATTGTGTAGAATATCTTAATAACATTAAATGTTTCGGTGTGTCAAGTCATGAGTTAAAAGTGATAGTGGCGGGTGTAAGTGATGCTTATGAGGAACGATGATCATTCATCTGGATTGTTTGATCGTACATGACTTTTAGGGATTAAATTTGGATCTCATATTATTGGAGTTCAAATTATACACAGAGCAGATGTCTGTGATCAGTTTCTTATGCCTTGTTAGGGGCCTACATAGAATAATAATAAATGAGAGTAATAATAATATTAGAATAGTTAGTTTAAATAGAGGTGGAGGGTAGAATAGAGAGGAGGCTGGTATTATTGTGTTGGGCTGGGACTTGGAGAGCTGGCACTCTTTAAACTGCTTTTGTATTTCTCTCTCTCTTTTCTGTTATATGACTGCTGCCATTGTTACGCACATCTTCTCTTCTTCATCTCTACTTTCTTGAATTACTCTGAAATTAGCTAGGTACCTAACATTGGTATCAGAGCAACCTTGTTGGTTACCTGTTCATGGTCGCCACCAGAGGAACTATGGAAGCTAGGCTGGAAAATTTTAAACGCGCGCTGGAGAAGAATCACATAGAGGAGATGCGTGATAGAGCAGCTATGCGCGAAGAAGCCAAGCTCACTCGCGATGAGTTGCGCGAGCTAATCCTGAACCGGAACAATAGTCAGTCGCGAGGAAGATCGAGGACCCGCAATTTCGAGATCATCGATAGCGGTTTCTTCCAATTCGTCGTCGATAGCCGCTGGTTCCAGTTCGCCATCGTGAACTGTTCTTCCCAGTTCACTATCGCGAAATGCGTCGCCCAGTACACCGTTGATAATCGATCATCACCCATCGACATCGCAAGTTTCGTCGCAGGTTTCCTTACTCGCATATCTCACAGCTCACCGTCGCACAGCTCATCGTCGCTTGTCATTCCTCACCTTGTGCCAGAGTCATCAGTTTCCAGAACCTTTGACCTAGTCTCATCAGAAAAAGGATCCCAGGGGGCTCCACCAACTACAATGAACACAGAATTGAAACCGGTTGCACCATCAGTTACGGAATCAGATCCTGAAGAGGATGTTCCAATGGAAATTGTGCAACATTGTTTACCAAACATTAGTTTGGAAGGGCTGAATAAGATTGCTGGCTTCAGATTTGATGATGTTACTTCGATTAAGAACATTCAAGATAGATTGGGGGTAGTAACTACTGGAAATTGGAAGGAAAAGGTGGGTTATACTAATGATGGTTACGGTGACAGGTTTCTGATGTTTGACAATGGAATCAATCCTGCTATCGTCCAAGAGGCTTTGATAATTGGTGAAAATGTAAAGAGAATGCCAACAGTTTGTATATCTAATCAAGAAGCAGATATAGGTTTGAACTATTGGGTTCGTAAGGGTAAGGCGTTTGCCTTCCATTGCTATGAGAAACTCTATCTCCCATTCTTGGTGATCACACAGAAGAAAGCGATAAAGATTGAAATGCTGCCTGTTGACCTCAAGCCTATAAGGGAAGGACTTCCAGTGTTGAAATCATGCTTGTCACGGCGTCGCCTAGGCGTCGCCTAGTCGCCGACTAGGCGTCCTGGTGATGGAGAAGGGTCGACAGGGGAGATCGACTCGCCGGAAGAAGGCTAGTCGCCTCTGGCGTCGTCCAGGCGTGAATATGTCGTCCAAGCGCAGTCTTGGCGTCACGCCAGGGGAGATTTGAAATCTCAATAAATTCGTTTTTTTAAGCCCAACCTAAAAGAACAATCGTCGACTCTCAACCTCGAAGCTCAATCGACGATTCCTAAAGGCGGAGCATCGCTAGTCGTTACTTTTCTGATTTGTGCCTCTGTAGCAAGGTCGTCTGTAGGCGATCTGTAGTTGATGTGTTCCTGCGTCACTAGGTTGAAGACGACGTGCGCTCTTCCCAGCCTTTTATTTTTATCGGTCATTCATCTTATCACGTTAGTCTTTATCAGACTTCTTATTCTATTATATATTGATATTAAACATTAATATTAATACTGCGTACCCACTCAGTAGTATATCCACTACAGTTTTACATAGTTTAATTTTAATATAATATATGTATAT